TTTTTTTTTTTTTTTGAGACAGTGCCTCACTATGTAGTTCTGACTGGACTTGAACTCACCTCTGTGTAGCCCAGGCTAGCTTCAAACTGGCAGCGATCCTCCTGCCTCAGCCTCCTGAATGCTGGGTTTACAGGTGCTCACCACCATGCCCAGCTACCAACACCACACTTTTTGCAAGTCAGGTGGCTCTGACTCCTGAAAGTGGAGCTGTGTTGTGAGCTCTCCACTGAGTCCTGGGCACACGCCTGGAGGGGTCAAGAGCTGAGTAGCGCTGCTGCAACAAAGTCGGCTCCTTGCCCAGCTGGGTATTTAGAGGAAGGTCCTCAGCCTTTAGAGCCACGGTAGAATTAATGCTGACCATGCTTTTCCCCAGCAGTAATGCAGTCACCCACAGGAACCGGAAATGAAGGGGCAGAGAGCTCTGGAGATTGATTCCCAACATAGTTTACATTTTTTTGTTTGTTTGTTTTGTTTTGTTTGAGACAGTATCTTGCTATGTAATTTAGGCTGACCTTGAACTCACTGTATAGCCCAGGCTGGCCTTAAACTCATGGCAATCCTCCTGCCTCTGCCTCCCGAGTGCTGCAAGATTCACAGGCATGCACCACCACGCCTGGTTTCCTTTTCTTTTAAGAAAAGGTCTCAGTATGTTGCACAGGCTGGTCTCCAACTCCTGGGCTCAGGCAATCCTTCTGCCTCAGCCTTCTGAGTAGCTGGAACTACAGGTGCATGCCTGACTTTCATTTTTACTTTTGATGTTTGGTAATTATTCATGAAAATGTATTTCATATGCATGTTTTAAATTGTGCACTAGCCACAGTTTTAAAATTAACTCAATCCAGATGAAAATACTTCAGCATTCAGAATTTTTTTAGGCATAGGAAATTGAAATGTGAATTTCTGTACGCAGTTCGGTTGCTAATGTATGATTCACTGGATAGAAGTCTGCTGGGACTACAAATACAAAAGCTCAAGGGCAAATGAAAACAGTAAAATTTCCGATAATAAAGGAAAAACTTGTTTTTTGCTTTTTTGCTTGGTTTGGTCCAGTTTGGTTTTTTTGAGACACAGTCTCGATATGTAGCTCAGGTTGGCCTGGAACTCAAATGATCCTCCTGCCTCAGCTTCCAGAGTGCTGGGGTTACAGGTTTGTACCACCACATCCAGCTTGAGCTTCTTTTTTATTTCATTTTGTAAATTGGACATTGGTGGGCACCAAATCACTGGAGTTTTTGGATTGCAACTGATTCATTCAAAGAAAGGCTGAAGCAGCTCAGTTTGAAAAGCCAATGTTCATAACCACGGCTGTGTCCTTTTTAACGATCTGAACTTATGAAGAGATGTTTTTGCTGAACATGTACTGTACAGAGGGTGCGCACGGTCCCGGTCCTCGCCGGGGCGGGTGACAGGAGTGACTGACAGCTCCCCAGGAGCGGGAGTCTGCACAGAACCTTCCTGCTGGTCACTATCAACTACAGCACTGTTTCAGTGATGGCTGCACAGGGCCTGGTGTTGTGGGCTCTGGGGCTCCAGGCCGTGGGGACACCTCCCGCACTGAGGTTTCAGCCTCAGGCCAAGCTGGCACCCCCTGGGGCTCTGCCACCCATCGCCTGGGTGCTGACAGCGCCCCCGAGCTGCTTCTACTGAGCAGGGAGGTCACACCTGCCTCAGCCGTGTGCTGACCTGGTGGTGGCCTAGACCTGGGAGCTGGGCCTAGAACTGTCACCGCTGCTTCTGCGTGCAGCCTGGGGAGGGAGTGCCGCACACAGGCGTGGCTCTGCAGACCCAGTGTAGGCTCTGGGCCGTGGGAGAGGGCACTGGGGACAGGGCCAGAGCACGAGCACAGGGCCGCACTGTGTGTGTAAAGGCTTTCAGAGCAACGCTGCTGGCATCGGCCCCCCGGCCAGGGGTCCAACTGGGGTCCAGACGAGGCGTGTGAAGGGGCCAGGGCAGGACCAGCTGAGGGCTGACTCCCCAGGATGACCTGCACTGTGTTCCCAGGGGATCCCCAGCACTCACATGTGGAGAGCCAGTAGCTCTGAGCGCTGAGAGTGGTCCGGCTTGAGGCAGCGAGCAGCTCACGGGGGTCCTGCCTTGTCAGTGGGTAAAGCCACTGCAGCACTGCTCCGTTAGCCCACCATGTACCTCCCAGGCTCTCTCCGTGTCCTGCCCTCCGTGTGCCACCCTGGCCAGATGCTAGGGCCACACTCTTAACCGTACTGGCCTCCCAAACTGTGAGTCAAGTAAATTTCTGTTCCTTATAAACTGCCCAGTGTGTAGTGTTTATTTTTTGAGCCAAGGTCTCAGTATATAGTCCAGGCTAGTTTTCAACTTGTTGGCTGCCCTCCAACTTGAGATCCTCCTGCCTCAGCCTCCTGAACACTAGGATTACAGGCACATACCACTCCCCACCATGTTTTGTTAAAGCAATATAAAAACAGATGAAGACAACCCGGCCAACTCTCAGACACCTCACACTGCAGGTCCAAATGTGCACCCAGCACTGCCCCTAACTTGCTCCTCCACCCGAGCCCACCCCGTCCCCAGGCCAGACCTGGGTCTCACCCAGACACTCCCCTGCCCGCCGGTCTCTCAGCGACACTGGCCCAGTCTGCCTCTTGCACATCTCTTTACAGCCCCTTCCACTCTCCTGTAATGACTCCATCCCTGCTCTGACCAGTGCCCCAGGCCTGAGCTCCTGAAAGAGGAATACGACCTGGGTATTCCCTTCAAGCAGGAATGCTGCAGTCGGTAATCCGGGTGCAGCCGGCCTCCCCCACACTGTGAGCCCCAGGCCGCAGGGCCCAGGGCTATCACGGCCACTGCTGTGTCCCCAGCCCTGAACAGCACAAGGTCAGGCCCATCGATGAAGCTCACTGGATCTTTGCTTAAAGCATCAAAGGGGGCCCTCCCCAACCCCGCAAGTATCCGCCACCCTCAGAACTGGCTAAAAGAGTAAAACAAGCCAGGCGTGGTGCTGCACGCCTGCAACCCGAGCACCCAGGAGGCCGAAGTGGAAAGGTCCCTGCGAGTTCAAGCCCAGCCTAGGCTACACAGCCAGTGCAAGGCCAGGCTGCGCTAGAAAGTCAGACCCTGTCTCAAAAACAAGGTTGCTAGTAACAGTAACAAAACAAAGTACTGACACGATGAAACAGAGCCCCTCCCCGCCCTCACTGCGGCCCGCCGCCTCTGCCTCGCTGCGCCCAGATTCACCGCTATGTCCTCCGGCCCCCAGCCCCACTCTAAACGAGGGTCGCTCTCCCAGGCGGCCTTCCTTCCTCATCCCCAGGACACAGGTCGCTGCCGTGTCTATTCCTGGACGTGCCTTTCTTGGGCCCTCAGCTCCAGCCGTGGCCAGGAAGCAACCCCAAGGCTCCGCTTCGTCCGACCGCGGGCCTCATCACCCTGCCTCGTGGTCGGGCTTGAGCACTCGGCTGTGTGGTGCCCGCAATGAGGCTGAGTCGGCGAAGTGCAGATGAGTAACAGACCACAGGAAGCCTCGCCAGTGCAGGGTGACCAGAGAGGCCCGCTGTGTGCTGTCCACAGCCTGCGTCGTCTGGCACGGGTCTGTGTGAATGTGCTGCCGGGCAGGAGCTGCCCGCTGTGGGCCCAGGCCGTGCACCTCCCTGGGGCCGCCCTGCTGTCCTTCGCCCGCACGGCGCCCGGCGCCGCTTCCCCTCCTGCGTGTGCCTCGGGTGCATAGCCACACAGGCCAGGAGTCCAAGGCGGGCCCCACGTCCGTGGGCAAGGGACCGCTCTGCCCTACGCCTCAGGTCCCCCGTGTGACAGCACTGCTGAAGGGACTCGGTGGCATCACCCAGATGCCTCTCAGTTCAAGGCAGGCTTCATACAGAGTCCTGGATACAAACTCACTGTACTTTCCCTCCAAGGCTACAGAGATACGAGCTGCACGGACTTCCACCGAAGAACACAGCGATACTACAGCCCGCACCGCGGCGTGCCTCGCCCTTCCCAGGGCGATTCTGCTTAATAAACCAGATGTGTCCTTAAATGCGTGACGAGTCAGGAACCTACGGCTGGGCGTGGCGGCACATGCCTGTAATCCCGGCACTTAGGAGGGTGAGGCAGGAGGATTGCTGAGACATCAAGGTCAGCCTGAGGTACATGGTGAGTTGAAGGCTGGCCTGAATTGCATATGAGATGCTGTCTCAGAGAAAGCGAAACTGCACAGCAGAGCTGGTCACACAGAAGAGCCCACTGTCCAGACCCTCAGCGTGTCCTGCATCAGGACAGTCAGCCACACAACCCAGACTGTCTTCTCTCAGGCCAGCATCGGCCTCCCCCTAAACTACGAGAGACTCCAGGAAGAGCACGAGGTTGCTGTGCCAGGGGGCACCCACGGCCCAGGTCCCGCAACCTCCACCGTGATCAACATCCGCAGCGACACTGCTGTGCCTGACCCCGCTGTCTGGTCCCTCTTCAACATGATCTTCATGAACACGTGCCGCCCGGGCTTCACAGCCTTTGCCTACTCCATAAAGTCCAGGGACAGGAAGATGGTGGGCGACGTGACGGGGCCCAGAGCTATGCCTCCACCGCCAAGGGCCTCAACATCAGCGCCCTGGTCTTAAGCATCGCTCTGACCATCGGCCTCATCACTGTGTTTTGCCTTCACCTCCGTGCAGTTGTCCAAGGCGATATATGACTCTCAGGGCCACTAGCCCTGCAGTTTCTTTCCCTCCACAACTGCCCTGGCCCTGGGCTGGGCCCTGACCTGCACCCCACACCCCACACCCCGACCAGCTGTCCATAATTGGGATCAATAAAGTGTGCACGTTCCTTAAAAAAAAAGAGATGCTGTCTCAAAAAAACAAAAGCAAAAAAGGAACCTATGGTGTGTCTGGGGACAAGCTGAGGACTCCATCTCCTCAGACCCCGTCCAGTGACAGAGGGAATGGCGTCCTCATCTGAGCGCTCTGCTGTGAGCCGGGGAGAGCTGTCACTGCGCAGCAGCCGCAGGAAAGGGCCCGTGGGGACAGCAACCACGAGAGGAAGGAGCCTGGCTCTGGGAGGGGGTGGCAGGCACCAAACGCTTCTCTGCCAACATCAGGGAGTCAACCAGTACTAATGTAAAGGGCAAAATCTTTTTGGTAAATATCAGAAAAGGGCTCAAAGAGTTGAAGTGGTTACCTGTGGGGCCCAGGAAGGAAAAAATATGTATAATATAAATAAACATATAAATATATATATATATTTAAATTCAGTTCTACCTGTACCCCTTCTACTTGCAAAGTCAGTAACTATACATATGATACATATATATATATCCCCCCCCCCCCGGGGGACAGGGTCTTACTATGTAGTTCAGGCTGGCTTTGAACTCATTATGTAGCTCAGACTGGCCTCAAACTTGCAGTGATCCTCCTGCCTCAGCCTCCTGAGTGCTGGGATTACAGACATGAGCCACCATGCCTGGCCACTGGAATTGTTATGAGTACGTCATGTATGTGTTACAACACCCAAGAAATGCTCAAACATTGTACAGTCCAGGCAATGTCATATAAGGCACATTCTTCTTAGATGGCATTCTATTGAGGGAGGACAAATTTAGGTAAAAGTTTCCTATGTCATTTAATATAATGATATCATCATGATTGTTATGCTAAAATGTTAACTCAAGTTTTCTCAGTGAAGCTGTACACTTGTTATCTGTTAACATTCCACAGGGATTCAATTCCTAAGACAATCATGACTGGTAAGAAATTAACAGTTTCCTGGTCATACTGTACATTTCAAAGTGCTTGACATCTATGTAAGATCGTATAAGATCTATGCAGGATCGTAAGTGTTCTCCCACTGCAATACTGATTTAACTGATCTCCTGGATATTCCACAACTGAGGTTTAGAAACCAGAGTCAGAAGGTAACTGGACTAAGAGGACAGCCAATGTTTCAGCCCTGGCCCTCCAAGGTCAACAAAGACTCAGGACATCATGGGATCTTTTTCTACAGGATCCTAAAACCTTGGTGAGTCCCCTAAACTTCTGAACAGGGAGACTGTTGGACCGCTGAGGACAGGAGTCAACGACTGTGTGGTGTGCTAGAAAAAGGGTCACCAGCTGTGCTTCCACAGAAAGCCACACGGTCAAGCAAGACCACGACCCATGCTGGTGGCTGTCTCTGACAGAGGAGCTAAGAGACTCTACGTGGTTCCAAAAGTCAGGCCTGAGGGTCCCTGACTGACATTGACAGATAGCAAGAGGTTAATTTTGATTAATACAGGTCTCACTTTAACTTGGTCTTGAACAGCCAGCAGAAAAAGTACAATCAAAAACATATTAAAGTTACCATATATAGGCTCGACATAAAAAGGGGGTTCTAATCACTGACACCTGCTGATAGTTTCCAGCTACACCTGTGAACAGGTTTAGAAGCCAGCTGGCCACAACCGCTATTCCAGTCCCTTAAGAACAGTGTCTAGATGTGGCTCCTCCACAATCGCCTTTCTATTTCCAACTCATGCTCCGGTCACACATGCTCTAATCTCTTGGTAAAGTGTGTATGTTCTCGCCTAACTCCCAGGGACCAGACAGATGGAACCAATGACAGCAGCGCCGGGATCCACACAGCGTCTGCTCAGGGAGCACATGCACCATCCCGCACACACGCTGTACTTTTATTCTACATAATCATGATAGTGTAACTGCAGCTCTGCAGGAGATAACCACAGAGGTTCAGGCAGTACAACAAATGTCTCAGGACCCTCCACAGAGTTCGTGAGACTCGTGGAAGCCCACTATCCTACCTTAGATTCTCCCCTTCATGTGCCTGTTCTCCTCTTTTTATTAGCCTGTTTATTATGATTATGATTAAGGTTATTATTTTGGTACCAGGAATCGAACTCATGACCTCAAGCTTGCCAGGCAAGCGCTTATGCCCTTAAGCTACAGCCCCGGCCCCAGCCTGTTTATTACTGCCACACCTCATCAATCTGTTTCAAAGATTTCTCATCAAAAGGACTGCAACCATTTCACAGGTGGTTGATAAAGACAACTGTCAATACAGTTCTCCTTCCGTCCAGACAACACCCTGACTACCACCTCCCTAATCAGCAGGACGTAGATAAGGGAGAGATGTGCTGCTCCCTTTTTTTCTTTTTCCTATCTGACGATAGAGTCTGGAATGCAGGAATATGAGCACCACATCCCCGGCTGATCAGAGACCGCTGGAAGCCCCCTCCCCACCCAGTACAGCAGCACCTACAGACTTATAACATTATCAACCCTGCTATTTATTGACAGAAGCCCCGACTCCTTGCACTTCCCCAAGCCCTGTCTTCGGACAAGCACACCTGGCAGGCAGCCCCACCTTTCACTGGACTCCATGCCCCCCATGATCTCATAAACAACGCCATGGCCTGTATAGGAGCGACTGGTCTGGTCTTCAGTGTCAGAGCGGCCTCTTCAGGTTTGTTCTGCAACAAACTTGTCCTGTTGAGCTTGGACCTGTTTCTCTTCCTCCTTTTTTCCTAACAGAAAACACCAAAATTTAACTTTTGGTCATCACTGAATGCTGGGATATGGACATTCTCTATTTTTTCCTTAACTCTATATTTTAATGTCTAGACTGAATATAGATCTCTTTTCTATTTTTATGAATAAGAACCAAATGAAAAATGCAAAGCTTTGAGCCCGGCATGGTGGCACATACCCTCCAGCACTGGGGAGGTGGAAGCAAAAAGATCACTGTGAGTTTGAGGCCAGCCTGTGCTACACAGTGAATTCAAGACCTGCCTGAAATACATAGTGAGACCCTGCCATCACACAAACAAACAGGGCCGGGGATATAGCTCAGCGGCATAAGTGCTTGCCTGGCAAGCCTGAGGTCATGAGTTCCATTCCCAGTACCAAAATAAAAAAGAATACCTAGCACAAACAAACAACTGCAACTGTTGGCAACATAATTCCGATGATAAGAATTGGTCACCTTTTACAAGAAAGGAAGCTGTGAACTTGATGAATGATTCAGACACAGGAGGAGCCTCTCTCCCATCCCTTTGGTGTACTTAAGGAGCTTCCTTCTTAAATGTGGCCAGGGATGCACTCTGCACTCAGTCACCAAGGGGGCACACCTGAGCCCCGGTCACCCTGAGGAGCCAGCTCACAGGACCGGAAGGTCACATTAAGAGGGGTCATAAGTAACCTGTGGGGCCAGAAGCACGCACGTCAGTGGTGTGAGATGCAAGGTGGCAGCCCACTGTTCTGTGGCCCAGTGGCCGGGTCACCGAGGCAAATGCCCCCGGGGATGACTTGCTTCTGGGAGGCTCAGCAGGATGTCAGGGTCAGGGAAGTTGATTTCTCAGGAAGCTGTGCTGCTGCAGAGTAGGTGCGTGCCAGTCCTGAGAACCCCTGGGGGGCCCTGCCAGCGGCCAGGAACACGGGGTGGGGGGCCTGCAGCTGGAGGACTCGGCTTCTCATCTTCTCAGGTACTGAGGCGCCCACCCTCTCCCAGAGACCCCAGTGCAGGGGACGGCACGGCCACACTCACCACCGCTCTCCTCTCCCTCGCAGCCCGCTGCCTCCTGCCGCAGCCACTCGGCAAGGCGCACCCCACATCCTCCCCGAGCCAAGGGCCCGAAGGTGAGCAGGGGTGAGGAGGGGGTGAGAACCACAGGGGCACACAGCAGTACCACAGGGGCAGGGGGCTTGGGGACACCACAGTTTTGCAGTACCTAGTGCAGTTTTAAAAATAATTGTATGTAAATTACAAAATCCCTTTAATCTACGTAACTAGCGCTTCTTTACAGAAAAGCACTTAAACATAAACACTGTGTTAAGTTCATTTATATGTAATTCTAGAAAATGCAAGCCACCCCCCAGCAGAGCAGTGGCCATGTGCGGTTAGGGGTTAGGAGAAAGGGCTGCAATGACACAGATACAGGCTACTCTGGGGGCGATGGTAGTGATGGTACAGGGTGTACACCTCTATCAAAACTTATTCTAGCATGCACAGGCCTGGGGTTCCATCCCCAGCAAAAAAAGCAGCTGCTTTTTTTGAGGGAAAAAAAAAAAAGCTTAAATTATACCCCTATATGCAGTTTATTGTACATCAGTTGTATCTCAATAAAGCCATAGAAAATAAAGATAGGGAAGCCATGCAGCGGGGAGTGCCAGCCTTTGGGCTGGCCCCTAGCTGCGCAGGCGCCCGGAGGCAGGCCACCTGCACCCGGGAAGCCGCATGGTTGAGAACTATCATGGCACAGAGGAGCAGTGACACAATTGGCCTGCCATACACTGGCTGCGGAGGCCCACCCGGGGACATGCATGAATCATCCCGACATGGAGAAACCCCTGGGAATACATGCCACACAACGGGTCACTCTTGCCCCTGCTGTTGAGAACCAGAAAGGTCCAGACTCAGCGGAGAAGCAGCTACTGAACAAGGACTTGGAGAACACTAGAATACAGACTACAGCCAAAGACTCAGAGGTCTAGTTGACCAGGGTCACGAGAGCCATTTGGAAGCTGGAAACCAGGAGGACCTTGTGCAATACCTGGGGAGACCCCCTGGAAGCCATTCTTCCCCGGACAGTACAGGCTGCGGTGGAGGAGCGCGTGGAGCTCCAGAGAGGTCTGCACTGAGATTCCTGCTGCCTGTGCTGACGGTTGAGGGCACTAAGTGGTTGCGGGGTCCCAATGAGCTGGGAGGCTGGAGAGGAAAAGCTACAAAAAATGGCTTTCACCCCAGATGGCTCACTTGAGATGTGAGTAAGAACTGCCTCCTCAATATTCTACAGCTGTGATGAGGAGGAGGCCAAGAAGAGAAAACAAAGAGATGGAGAAAAAGCA